CGGGCCACCGTTCCGCCATGTGTTTTAGTTGCGTTCAGCACTATTGTGAATTTGAAGTTATTTTCCTAGTAGTTCAAGCAGGGGAAATTGAAACTTCTACGGTACAAACCAACATTTTTGCTAGAGTTTGCAAGCCGACTGAAAGTATGAATGCCTTTTTAAAACCATCTAATGTCTTTAGGTACATGGGGTATGTTCTTCCCAAGTGTGCTAATTTCACAGCAGACTCCTCCGGCTTGCACAGACACCGCAGTTTCTACAGTTTCCCAAATTAATGTGAAACAGAGTGTAGTGGATTGCGTGCAGGCCTACCCTCTTTCACACTTGAAGAGGTGCATTGTTTTCAGGTGGCTGTAGGTAAACCTGGTATATGGAGAGGTTTATACGTTTCCCATCACACACAAAAGTAGTTCTTTTTTTTCTCTTTTACTCGACTGCCAAATTAGCAGGAGCAAAGAAAATTGGCCATTATTTGTCGAGAAGAAGGAAGGTCGGTCTGGCAGCGCATGGTGACACTTTGTCACGCTCTATGTGAGAAATTTGACTAGTGCGGTACATCCGATAGCCCAAAGTCTTTAAGATGATTCATATAGCGGTAATACACGCCCATGCTCCACACACTGCGAGCTGCAGTGGGCTAACACACTCTGCCACCAGGCCCCTCCAAATCAGCACGTCCTGTCGAAGCAACGTGAAATTATTACTATTGCTGCTGATGGGGGCACGCGCACGTAAGGAAGGAAAATAACAGCCAGGAATTCTGGTAAGGGGAGGATGCCATACGTCATGGAACACAGGAACAGGCTTGGCTTGAATCCTTTTTGCTTCAGGATCACCATCACTACTCCAAGCTCACCACAGACTTTGCATTCACGGGAGCTTTCTCCAGCAACCGTTTCTTTTTACGAGACACTGCACCGCTTGCAGTGGCAGCTACTCTACGACACCTGCTCGCTGATTTACAGCTGCCCGGCCTGGTATGTGGAGTCACGAGAACCTGTGGGTTGCACCTGTTGTGACTCTTCCTTGACGGTTTCTTTAGCTTAGTTATTTTGCATGGCACCAAGGTTTAAGATTCTCTAGGACTTCAGGGTCATGTGGTAACTGCATTTTCCAAAGTGTTTCTGACATTAAACAGCAAGCACCCTGGTTGTGCTCGTCACTATGCCACAGTCACCTGTGTGGTGCATGAAGCAGTGGTTTGAACCATTGAAGGGTGCACTGGTGTCTCTTAAGCTGTCCTGGGCACTCATCGGTAAGTAATATTTGTGCTGGTGATCCAATATTCAACGACAAACATTGCAGCAATAAGTTACTTTTCAGTGTGCACACATTACTGTTGTACAGCCTAAAATATTTCAACGGTGAAGAATAGGTGAATGACTTGCTTCAGGCTACTGGAACACGTTATTGTGTGGGCCTTTCTTTTATGGAGGGGAGGGGAGGCGAGAGCAGAAGAGTAGCAGAACCAGGCACAAATAAAAATTGAAAAAATCCGCAGCGGAAAAAAAATTAATAAATAAAAGCAGTGTGAAGAGTTGCGTTGCTTACACGTCACAAACTCGTGGCAAAAACGGAGGCTATACTCTGTTTCGCCTAGTAGTGTACCGCAGGAAAGGCTACAAGCGCGAGCTCCTTGCTCTAGGGCACATCTCGACGGTACAAGTTCTCGTGCAACAAGGGCAGCTGCCAACGCTATGAGCTCGCGCTTCTGGCCTTCTCTGCGGTACAACATAAGGTGAAACGGAGTATAGGCGGAGAACGACTCATTATTAATCCGAGACGGGGACACAAATAATAAAACGAAGAGACGCGCGTGTGGTTGCCCTTCACTTTTATTTTTTTATTTTCCCGGTTCTGGGGTCCGAGGCGTTCGCTTACCTTGCCTCTCGTGGTTTTCGGGCGCGCGGTTCACGAGGGAGTCGGTGCAACGTACCAATTGAACGTACTCGACGCGTATTGAAAAGAACACGATTTATCCTGATTACGCAAAGCCCGAGAAACGCACCTTGCTTCACAATATCGGTACGTTCGTAGAAAAGCGAAGCAAACAAACCGCATTTTGCAGATTGAAGAGACATGGACGATTCGTCACGAAAACCACTCGGCATCAGCGGTTAATTTCGCGGCCGCTCGCTGTTCGAAGTAGCAAAGTGTTTCTGCCGATCCAAAACAAGCCAAATTCCACGGAGTCGGTATGGCGACGCATCAGCGGTTAATTTAGCGGCCGCTCGCTGCTCGAAGTAGCGAAGTGTTTCTACCGATCCAAAACAAGACAAGCCGCATTTCGAGAAACTTCAAGAAAGCCACCCGGCTTTTTTTTGAAGCCCCCGTTGCCCCCCGTCACCCAGTCTATCCACGCATGCACTTCCCTTTCTCTCTAATATAATCGGAGAGCGTCGAACAAAGCTCCGCGTGGAACGTCCTATCAGAGCGCGACGATTGCCTCGGGTTTATGCAAAGAAGTGGTCCGAGCATAATCCATGCTTATCCCTTTCCAGGGGCGGCAGTCCAGGGAAATAATCCCCTCTAATCCCTTTTGAGGGGAGGGACCCTTTTTTTTGGGGTTCCACCCAGGCCAGAAACTATACAACACCCCGCTGTTGTACACCGTTCCCCGTGTAAACAACAAAAACGCGGTGGAATATTTAATATTTAGTTTGTTTACTAAAAACACATTATTAATACAGCATACACGCGTGGGGTCTAAAAACAAATATTTCTTTCGGTGCAATACACAGCCAAAACTTTGCACTTCACTGTCGCTAATGTACATAAATAATGATTGGAACCTATTTCAATCAAATGTCAATCTTCTAATAAATTTACGTTCTTCTAAATTATTCACATCAAATGCTTAATTATGTTTCTTGAATTTACATCTTTATCGCACAGACACGCTACTTTGCACACTTGTCAGAGGGAAAACAAGTCAAGATTAAAAAAAAGATATAAATCAGATTTATTTGAAAAAAAAAATCACTGTAGCCAAAAATAGGGATTTTTTCCCATTGGATGTATTTTGAACATAGGAGATTGATTGATCGATTTGTTTGATCACTAACTGCAATCCGGTAGAGAAAATTACTGTAAATGTACAATAACAACTTTCATTAGTGTGATCCCCGCTACACTAGAACAAAAACAGCTTAATTGTATTAGTTAGTTAAAACTTTATTTGATTTTTATTTCGACTTCTGACTTCATTGAAATATGACATTACTTTTCTAGTTTTCGTTTATTTATTTGGGTTATGATTTTATTGCAGTAGGACATTACGTAGCTGACGAACAATGTGGAAGGTAGAAATCAAGCTCAAGGTTTAAATTTTTTTCAGAAGAGCATTTCTTTTTGTTTGTCTGCAGCCTGATATAGACATTTCTTGTTTTATAATTATTTGTGTAAATACAAATCAGATGCACATAAAACGCATCAAATTTCAAAGTATGGAAAATAAAAACACATTCCGTTCTTAATATTGAGGATAGTTTTGATTGAAGTCATCATAGTTTAATAACTGATCTAATTTAAACAACGATATAAATCCTGATTTTAACCTTATTGATTTATGCTTACCCGCCTGACGCTAATACAAATAAAAACTTGAAAAAATGCTTTATTGCGCAAAAACAGCGACAAAGCATTAAGTTATATAATTTTACGTGCCAGCGCCGATTCCAGCAAGCTTCTTGTCCGGATGGCTCAATTGAAAATAAATCCCACTCATACACTCTGGAGCAAGTCGTTCTAGGGCGAACATAAACATGCAAGAAAACATTTCTATTAAACTCTTGTTAGTCCTACAATCATTGGTGAAAGTGTGCCTGAAAAGCTCCTAGTATTTGACGGAACAATATCTCGAGTGCAAACTAACACCAATGCTACACTAATACTACCCCAGCTATCTTTACGGCTTTTATACCTTCAAACACTTTTCCTGTACTTCGGCTTAGAGTATTTTACCTACAGCCAGCGCCACGGTGTTGACATGATGTCAGAAACATGAGCTGGTGTTAAAGGTTTAATTAACTCCAGAGTTATCTAGGCGCTGTCCCAGGAGCTCCAACACCTTTATTCTGATGGCGGTTAACCCGAGACCGGGTTCCTATATATGACTCACCCTCTTCGTTCTAAGTACGAGGATTTCTGGATATTAATTTTCCGTCGTCTGCTTCATGCTCCCTTATACAGCGAGTTTTCTGGGGAAAGGGAAGGCATATGGCGTCCTTTGAGCGTGGAGTGCAGCTCCGTAGACAGGGTGTACCGCCTTGTATCGGGTCATAAGTTAAGAATGCTCCAAATAAACAGACTCCCGCATTAGCCATGACATCGAAGCGCTCCATACACCAGCCAAGGAGGCAATAGACCTAGCGAGTTATGTGACGTCAGCGGGGCGCTTTCAAAACTCTACTGCCCTTTTGATCAGCACGCAATAGCCATGTTGCGGACCATTTGCGCATAGTGGAGGAACCGAGGGGCTAGAAGCAGCTTCTGGAGTCTCCTTAACTTTTATCTAGGTACAGGGATTAACAAGTGGCCAGAACTGTGCGTTTTGTGGTTAAGCATGTGGTGAGAGCCTTTCGTTCAGCAGATTCCTCCTTCACTGTTTTAAACCTCGAAGGTCTGTCATAAATTATTGTTAATTGAAGGCAGTTAGTTCCTTGATCGACCGCTCGATTGTGCTGATTACGTGTGAATAGCTCCTACAGCACGTTGCGTAAAAGTTTAATTTGCGATGAAAAACTAACGAGATAATATAGAAATAATAAACACGTAGGGAGAAAGACACCAGAACCACATCTTATCTTTGTCCTACATGTTTATTACTGCTTTAATCTCGGGCCGCACCAACACGCTCTTCGTCGATCCAAATAATATAAACCTATACTTTGTATAATTGTGGTAAACAAATAAAAACTTCCAACGAACAAAGCATAAACGAAGTAAAACAATTAATAAAAAAAAAGTTTTGCTTTTGGTTGTGCCGGACTGTTGCGCAGAGTTTGCGTCGTCCCGCTCCCACCAGTCGGCGGTGTGGCTGCACTCGAACGCGCTGCCCTTCTTCTCCAACCACTCGGCCGGGGTTCGGCGGGAACTGCTCCACCTGGTGCGGCTCTGGGAGGCCCAGTACGGATCGCTGCACCTGGTCATGGGGCCGGCCTTCGACCTGGACGGGAACGGTCTCAGGCCCGCACTCCACAAACTCAGGTACGGACTTTTTTTTTTCACGTTTTGGGGCGTTTCCTTTTGGGCTATCCGGGACGCTCAACCGACGCAACAACTCTTCTAGACTTTTACAACAGTCGCCTTCTACGCGCCGACATCATCGTCTGCTGGTCTGGGGAACGTCTTCTGAGCATGCAGTTTAACTCTGTTGTGCGGTATGCCAGATGCTTCGCATGCATCCACAGATCAGTGTCTCAGTATTTTTCGCCCGGGTGAAAGCGACGCAGATGTTTATAGAATGTGTTGGCCGAATACGATTAAGGTTACCACGTTGCAGGACGTATAGGGCAGCTTCGGTCTGCAATCGCCGACACAGCTAAAGTGATACAACCAAGGGGACATTACATATATATATATATATATATATATATATATATATATATATATATATATATATATATATATATATATATATATAGATATATATATATATAGGCATGTTGGCTTGGAGGCCGAAGGCGTAGAAGACAGAGATGCAGGGTGGCGGTAAAAAACAAACCAGGAGGATTTTATTCGTCGTTCCGACCTGAGGCAGGTCTTCGTCAGGAAAAGGGTTACAGGAAAAATGTGGTTCTATTTATACAGTTTTGAGAGGGGAGAGAGTTCGGATTCAAAGAACGTGCCTAGAGAGAATAGATAGGGGTACACCACTTAGAATCCCACACAAAAGAAGGGATGAACTCTAAGTCGTAAACAACCGCACACAAACGTCGCAAAAAATAAAATAAATAAGGGGGGCGCGGACGAGAGTAGGTGACTGACCAAATAACACATCGCATAAAAGAAAAAAATCTTTTTTTCCCTTTCCTTTTTCCTTCCTTTTTGCGCATAGAGAACACAAAGTAAGGGACGAAATCTAAGGCAGGGGAAGCCGCACACGCGGAGGTCGCCGAATACATAGGTGACACATCAAAAGTGGTAGGAACTACGGAAATACAGGATGTACGGGAATGAACTTAACAACACAACAAAGGAACGAAAACGCACTGTCCAGTTCTAGCTCTAAACTCAGTACCACAAAATTCTAGGTCCGAATGGTATATTAGTTATGGTCGTTATACTATTTATTCGATAGCGCCTCAATCGATGCAAGTGTTCCTGGGCTTCCATTTATTCCTTCCCTTATTGTGTTAAATCGGTATATAAGATATGACTCTCGTTGTTTGCGTTCCCGATTAGATTTGAAACCAGACTCTAAAAGTGTAACAGATAATTTATCGAATGTGTGGTTCTGAAGGGTGAGATGTGTTGAAATTGGCAGACTCGGAAGGATTTTTGCGTGTGATCTGTGACTGTTAAAACGTAGCCTGAACGCTGTTTCGGTCTGTCCTATAGATTGTTTTTTGCACACCTCACACTGTACCATATAGATTACGTTTGAAGAGTCACATGTAAGCTGCTCTCGGATTTTTATTGAGAACTGGGAATGCGTACTATTGACCGTGTTCGTTTCTCGCATATGTTTGCAGACCACGCTTCCTGCTTTCATGCACCACGGTCGGCATCCGTTATTTGGTTGGGACGAATTCAGTCGGGAGTTAACTATACTTTGTTTCAGCTTCCGTCCGAGCGCAGCCAAAGCTACATGTGCGCGGAGCCAATCACACGCCGGCAATAGGTCAGGCTATCTCGCCTGCACTTTTGTATCACTCCGCTGCGCCGCCGCCGGTCGGCTGCGCCGCCGGTCAGCCGCGCCGCCCGCGCTAGCCGAGTATTTCGTCTGCTACGGGTGTATCAACGCTATCGTCTGCTACAGGTTTAAAAAGTGCCCTTTCACGTTCTGAAACTTAGTCACAAGGGATGTCAGTACGTAGGCTGGCCGCTGGCATCTGTGTCCAAGCTTCCCACCTGTTCGGCATGGTTTCGAGCTGTAAGTACACGTTGCATGGTCCCCGATGACCCGGCCATTGATGTTTCCTTGTATTGTTTGGATATGCCAGGGCTCGACGCGCAGTCCTTTCCACCAGCTTCTCGGCGTTCAATGTGATCGGCAGGTAAAGGGGTGCCCTGATTTCGCCGTGTATCTGAATTGTAGTGGCCCGGACGCTTTGCTTGTTTACAACACATTCGCCGTACGACGCGGTCGGAGTCTTCTGCCGAATTTGAAAGTAGACACTCATCACCACTTTTCGCGCCTGACGCCCAAATGTGCCTTTGCGAAAGGGCGTTTTGAAGCGACTCGGTGAGGAAAGCAGCGAAGCACATGATTTGGCGACTACGGGAACGAAATCGCACAGAAAAACCGAGCGCTGCCGCCGTGTTGCCAGCGGATATACATGTTTTCACTAAACCACATGCATTTACATATATTAATAAAAACATAAACTTCAGAGATCTGATTCCTTTAGTTGCAAATCATTCCCAGCAGTACACATCTGGAACATTGTGCAGTTTTTACGCAAAAAACAGTTATTTTAAAATAAATTACTTTTGTGAACTACTTTGTGGTGCGTAGGAATGCTCTTCTCGAAGTTGCGAACCGTCCCTCAGCCTTTGGCTGCGCTCGGACGGAAGCTGAAACGAAGTATAGGCTGTCTCTAAGGTTGCGTGAACGTCTGTAAATTACCCCGGGAGCTGATGGGAATGCACGTTTGAGGCGTTCGCTTTGTTCTAAAATGTTATAATGTCGCCTTAAAATAATATTTACGTTGGGCAAATTCATACTATAGGTTAGACATAAATTCGTGCGCTGCGCGTTGCACTGAGGAGGGCTGTCCTCAAGGAGGTCAGCGCGGTTTAGTTGGGCGGCTTCTTGAATTGCGTCGTTAATGACCCGCAGAGGATATTTTTGTTTTTCCAGTGCGTTCTTTAGATGATCAGAGCTCGATTGGAAGTCCTCTTGCCGTGAGCATACGCGTTTGAAGCGGTGGGCCTGGCTGTAGGGTATACTATTCTTACAATGACGGGGATGGTCGCTTTGGTAGTGGAGGTATTTTTGCCGATCTGTTGGCTTACGATAAAGATTAGTTGTAAGCTTGCCTTTTTCTAATATTACAGTGGTATCCAAGAAGTTGATACTGGTCTGAGAATAAGCGTGAGTGAAGCGGATGGTTGGATGTACAGTATTGTACTAATTTATAAAGTCTAGCAGCTTCTCTTCTGTGTGCGGCCAAATAAGAAAATTATGATCTATAAACCTTTTGTAGATCAGTGGTTGTAAAGAACAGTCAGAGAGGAATTTGGTCTCCAGTTTGCCCATAAATATGTTGGCATAACTGGGTGCCATCTTAGTACCCATCGCAGTGCCGTTAACCTGCCTATAATATTCTTTGTTAAATTCGAATGAGTTCAGTTCTAAGACTAAGTGCGTGACGGTGGCAATGACGTGACTATCAGGGGTGTCTACTTGTCTGTGTTGTTCGTACATTTTCAATTAGAGAGGCTATTCCGTCGTCATGCGGGATATTGGTGGAGAGAGATGATACATCTAGGGTGACCAGATACGACCCCTGCGGTACGCGCAAATCAGAAATTTCTCTCAAGAAATGGGTGGTATCCTTGATATAAAAGTCAGAATTTAAGGGCATGTGCCTGATTAAACTGTCTGAGTATCCCGATATCGGTTCAGTTGTCGTACCCGATCCTGACACGATTGGTCGACCTGGGTTAGCGGCTTTATGGATTTTTGGGAACATGTAGAAGCGACCATAGGAAGGATGAGTTGGATTTATTGTATTGTATTCATTAGTAGTTATTTTCCCTTGTTCTAGAAGATCCTTTAGTGCCAATATTGCGACCCACGTGTGTTCTGCCGTCGTGTCGCCCGTTAGTGGCTCGTAGAACTTTCGATTGGTTAGTTATCGGTGGCCTTCCCGGATGCAGTCGTCTTTTTTTAGGAGGACAATTGCCCCCCCCCCCCCCCCCCTTTTTCTGCGGGTTTTATTATAATATCACTCCTAGCCGGCTAGTAATTTTAGGGATTCTTTCTCAGATCTCGTTAAGTTCTTCCTCTTTGTCCCGTGACTGCGATATTCCCACAAGATATTGCGTTGTATGGCGGCTATATACAAGTCCAGACAATTGTCGCGCTGAGTGCGAGGCGTCCAATAACTCTTAGGTCGCGTATGCGGTTTCTGGGGTACGGGTGGTCTATCGAGAAAGTATTCGCGTAGCCGTAGGCACCTGGCAAAGTTGTCCAGGTCTTTAAGGATTTGAAATTCGTTGAAATGACCGGTTTCTACCGTCACACTGCATCTCTCTCTCTATATATATCTATATATATGTATATATATATATATATATATATATATATATATATATATATATATATATATATATATATATATATATATATATATATATATATGTATATATATATATATATATATACGGTATATGCCTTTGACCATTTATAAAGATTTGACAGTGCTGTGAGGTTTCAAAGGCTTTTATGACAGCCATAGAGAAACTTGGAACCGTACAAATTACCACAGCTTATCCGTAAGCAGAATTAAAGGAAATACGTGGCGCGTGGGACGTGTTAGTTTGTTCCGAGGTAAGTTGTTCCAAACTTATAATGTAAGCTGAAAATGTAACATTTTAACGCTAATACTATGGAAGCCGTCACGATTTTGTGTCTTCGCACCACCCGAGAGATTCGCCTATATACTGTATAAATACTTCTCTGTTTTGTGTTCACCGCCCAAGGCCACTTAAGGTAGGGTATTAGCCCAACGGCCACGAATAAACAATTCACAGTGTGAAAATCAAGGAACTTTATCTCGCTCGCTGTTCTTATATTTAGCCTCCAGACGTCTCACCGGTTCTCAATATGTGAGGCCTTTGAGAGGTCAATTTGGGAACCACACATGGGTTTTGCTTCGGTGGCCCAGTAGGGGTGTCCGAATCTGCTTTCAGAAGCCTTTTGTTAGATATTCCGCTCGTGATGCTTATAACACGCCTCCTTCCTACGATATTGGCACCATGTTGGAAAGCTTTTCTTTCGATGTGCTTGTTGGTCGGTACATGTTCTATCCTCGTTT